TTTTTTTTTTTTTTTTTTTTTTTTTTTTTTTTTATAACCACTGAAGCACCTGATCCGCATGTTTCCCAAGGTAAACTTGGCAGATAACACCCAGATTTGGTCGGCGAAAGACACACTTGAAAAACCAAACAAGGCCGTTGCATTCCCAATCCCGAAGAATGTCGGAGCCTCCTGTATTGCAAGGGAAGGTCATCGCTGTTGTGGGCGGCGCCTCTGGCATCGGCCGGGCGGTATCTAAGCTTCTAGTCCAACGTAAGGCCAAGGTCGCCATCGCCGACATCCAACAGGACCTCCTCGCCGCCGTCAAGGCAGAACTCACCGATGCTGGTGGCGAACTCTTGACGCACCAAGTCAACATCACCGATCGCGAGCAGACCGAGGAATGGCTGGCCGACGTCGAGAAGCAGTGGGGCGGTCTGGACGGCGCCGTCAACCTAGCGGCCATCATTCCAAAATCGCACAACAAGGGCAGCGTGCTGGACCAGACTGATGCCGATTGGGACGAGGTCTTCGCGGTCAATGTTCGCGGTATGATGAACTGCCTGCGGGCTCATATCCCGCACCTCCTGCAGCGCGACGGCGGCGGCAGCATCGTCAACTTTGCCAGTACGCTGGGGATGATTGGCCGGGCAGAGGCGGCGTGCCTACGCAGCGAGCGAGCACGCCGTGATCGGCTTGACGTCGAGCGTAGCCAAAGAGTTTGGACGCCGAAACATTCGGATCGCCGCCATTGCACCGTGAGTTCCACTATCCCCTACCACTATCCCCTACCATCTGCTGATCATTGCGTGTATGCGTCCGGCGCATTTAAAAATCGGATCCAGAAGTTCACTGTTAACGTTAAGTGGCTCCAGTTGCTATACCTTGACTCCCATGATGTAAAGACCGATCGATGCTGACCCGAAGGCGGCCCAAGAGAAAGAGAACCCTGAGATTACCGCCCTGGGGCGTTTCGTACGACCGGTGGAGATTGCAAGAGCGGTTGCATTCCTGCTCGGGTTAGACTCTAGCTTCATCACGGGGGTTCCGGTCAGCGTGGACGGTGGCTGGGTCTGTTAAAATACTAGGCCCCTGGCTCAGTGTAGAAGACACCTCGTCATAATGAGCATTAATTCAGCAGTGCCATAACACTCTGACTTTCATTGGAAGATGCCAATTGATCTCTCAGGTTCGCCCTCTAAAAAAAAAAAAAAAAATTAAACAGCACAAGAGACTCAATCTCGAGAAAAGAGGATAAATATAGAGGGCGCTGACGGGAGTCAATGTAGACCTCTTGAGTGTCACTTTTGGTACTCATATGAATTCCAAACGCACCGCACAAGCGAACGCCTCCCCTTTCGTGCAGCCATTGAATCGATACTAATTAATAAGATCTTGGCCAAGAGTCGAAGGAGCTTGTTGGGCGAAGGTCCGTTGATAATCTCATTGATTGAATACAGAAGAGAAGTCCATCTACCTCGCGGGGGCGATCTTTGCAGGTGGGGAATTCTTCACAGTGTCGTCACGTGATCTGTAACCTAACCTAGAAGGTAAGGGTTGGGCTAACAGAGCCACTCGGAAGAACTTGAGAGTCTGATACGTGGGCGTTTGGATCGGTACTTGAGCGTCTATGATCGGAGGGAGCTGGCGAGCTGGCGCGGATATGTTTTATTCATAGTTCGTCTCGATGATGTACCGCTCACAAGTCCTGATTGTGCTGATTGGATCTATTTAGCAAAGTCCACCTTCTCGGCTTCGCTCCGTTTTGGTGCAAGCCAACATACTTGGTAACCTCTCGGTAAACTCCTTCGGTGTCAAGGCCAAAGCGGCCATAGTTGGCCCATCCGGCACCGGAGAACCCGAACGAGTCCAACGAAATCGAAGCGTTACAGTACCGTGCCCAGATGGTGGAGACGTATGCTTCGACAGAGATGGCACATGGAGTGTCCGACAAGACCGAGTCTTTGTACTCATCGCTTTGTTCACTAAAGAGGAGGATGCATGGCAGGCTGACCACACGGGTAATGATGCCGTCCGATGTCAACTTGGAACCGGCCTGGACGGCGAATTGTAGTTCTAACTCTCAAGAAACCATTGTCACAGTCGCATTTTCTCTTTCCTCGACGGCGTAGCCGCCCTTCAAGACCAATTACCGGTTAGTCTGGTGGATTTGGACAGTGGCAGGGTCTCGGCCATCGAAATCATCGACGGGCGATTCTTCTGAGACAAAGCTATCAGCCAGGCTCCAATGACTTCCTCTCCGTCAGCGGGACGAATGAAAAGGACGTTGGGCATGGCTCGGTACGGAGAATCTAATTCAACAGCTTGATGATGGGACCATTTTGCACCTCACTGACGGTGTCATGTGTGGCTATTTGGATGACCTTGAGTATCTTGACCGGCTCCGCACCCTCTTCTGGGAAAGTGCTAATGTAGTCCTGAAGTGTGGCTTTCCAATGTTCCTCTTTCATAGCGCCTTCGTAATTCTTCTTGTCGAAGAGCTCCTTAACTTTGCTCTGAAACGTAATGTGTTTGTTAGCTCACGCCAGCGGAGTAATGGAGAAGATCCTTGTTAGTAAACGTTCCGTGATGAGCCTTTGCCGTACCAGCGGCGGCAGTCTGATACCCTATCGTGGTTCGAATATTGAGAAAAGCTGGCTTCCCTTTCATCAACTTTGCCAGCTGCAATGTCGCGACAACATCGTCGACTGATGTGTCACCTGTAAAAACATCGATCACATCCCATCCGAGAGCTCTCAACTTGGAGTTCGTGTTTTCGCTCGCCGTCCAGTCCAGCGGTCCGTCGCAGGTAATCGCATTATTGTCGTAACAGAGGCAAAGATTGTCGAGTTTTAGGTGGCCGGCAATGGCGAGAGCTTCTCGGGCGACTCCTTGTTGTAAACAACTGTCTCCCGCGCTGAAATACATACAGGAACTCGTTATGGTGAAGTTGTCCTTGTTGTACCTGGCGGCAAAATTCTTGGATGCGATTGCAAGTCCAACTGCGTTGGCGATTCCTTGACCCAACGGGCCTGTGGTCGCCTCCGCTCCTGGAACTTCAATCTCGGGATGCCGGTGGCATAGAGTAGTCTTCCATTTTCCATCCTTAAATCCCTAATCGCTTGCATACGGTTTCAACTCGTCCATAGTCATGTGCGAATATCCGGTGATGTGCAGCATCACGTACAGCAAAATTACTACATGCCAATTTGGCAGGACAAAGAGGTCCCGGTCAAACCAGAAAGGATTTTGTGGATTGTATCGTAGGGTGTGTCGCCAGAGCGCGACAGCTAAAGGTGCCATGCCAATGGCTGAACCTCTATGGCCGCCGCCATTTTGACGACAGCAATCCATGACCAACTCTCTGATGTCGCGTACCGCGAATTCATCCACAGAATAGCTTGTTGGAAGAACGCCGTTGGCGAGGGCATTTGATACAGCCATGTTTGTTGAGTTCGAAATGTTGTTCAATTGTGAAAGCGTGCCTTTATGAGAGAGTAATGATCAGATCTATTTTCTTCCTCAGGCTTTAGTCTACCTGCATTTACTCAGATTTTGTCCCCTTGTCACTTCCGGAATCAATCCGTAGCATTTTGTTCAGTCGATCTTTCCATATCCTTTCCCGCTGCAATCTTCGGCGCCTTTGCCACAAAAACTCGACCAGACAGATATTCCCTGCGTCGCCGGAGAAATTGGTAGCCGAAGACCTCTTCCGAAAGCGTCCACCCCCTCTAGCCTCACTAAGAATACTCTAGGATACACCTCGTATTGCAGTGCTCTCAGGTCACAACGCGTACGTTTCCTAAAGGAGGATATCACTATTCATGCCGGAATACTCAGTCGTCGGCCCGCATTTTAGAATATTAGGGCAAGGGGCATCAGTCTCGGCCTGGTTGAAATCAATCCCCGCTCTAATTGTTTTGCCGGTAGAGAAGGCTACTTAATGCTCGTCGCAGCAGCAGGTATTGACAGCCAATAATCTTTCAATCGCACAACGGTATAGCCAAGAGACTTATCTGTTCTCAGCCTTGTGACAGTAAGCTGGGTCAGCTCAACACTATTCAGGGTGAGTCGGATTTTATTCACCTGCTCTCGCAATCGTATTTCGGTCTTCTGTCGTGCTAGATGCTCATTTAAGAGTTTATGAAGGGGCCTGAAACTTCTGCCCTTTTCACAGTTTGCTTTCTTTTGAACATCCGTTCTAGCGTTGATGGCAGGGATGTCTGGCACCAGTCATCGGGGATACGTTTTGGTATGCTCACTCCTATCGAGAAGGAAGTGCCATTTGAGGCGGCCACACTCTTCGGGGCGAAAGATTTGCGATTATACAAACCAAAACAGGGCCACTAGCTACTTCGCACGTTCGACTCGCACCACGAGCTACAGGGCTTTGCGGGCCAGACCTCCATTATTATCAGAATGGCCATGGCCGACATCGAAGCCAGCAGACTGGAATCTGCAAAGCAAAACAAACTTGTGGACCGCATCTTCGGCATGTCGACAAAGATACAAACACAGGCTGTGGCCGACCAAGAGACTAAGTCCGATCTCGTCATCTAAAAGAGCACAGAGTTGCGAAACAAGTCCGGATTTGAGCCCGCGGGTTTCGTCTTTGGATGTCCTGGGGCACCGGTGTGTGCCAACATTAGTCTTTTCTATGCCGGCTCTGGGGCCAAGTTGGTGGCCGTGGGCCTGGTTGCTGTAATCCAGAGTCTACATCAGGCCGAAGCGGCCAAAAGGGAGGTCGACAATCTTACCAATTTGGCGTCATGCCCACACATTTGATGGCGCCGTTGCGCTAGTTGGGACCGGTATAGTGGTGGTGAAGCCGTTTATTACACATACTTTTGACTTTTCGCAGGCACACGAGGCATTTGGACTGGTCTGCAAGAACCCCCCCGATATGATCAAGTGTGTGATATTAAATAACAAAATCCATGACGAAAAATATTGAACTGGGGCGAGGCTACTAGCCATGGGCATCAACTCGTACGGCGGTGGGTATGGTCTCTTCTCAACGCGCACACTCAACTAGAGGAAGTCCTCTCTATTGGTAACTTAGTTGCTTATGTATTGTATATGAAAGATAGTCCCCTAGAACTATATAAGAAGAACCATAGTCTAGGGTCGGCGCCCCAGCCAATCATAACTCTATCCACTACTTCCAACTTCTCCCATTACATCCCTCCCATTGTCGCTCGCTTCCTTAACGACCTCGCTCAAGACTTAACTATAATCTTCGCCTATCCTTCTCGGAAACATTAATTCTTCTTTATATCCTTTAAACGCTCTACGAAGTTATCTAATTATCTCTCATCTAACCCCTTCGGACTCGAGCCCTTTAACGCCCCTAGATCTCCACTGCGCTTCGATTTACGCATAATCATCTTATAGATCTCTAGGGCGATAGTGAAACGATCCTCGATATTGACTTAAGTATTAGATAAGGCTATTTATAAGCGAGCCGTCTCGTAAGTTTCCGCATTAATGATCGCTAGAGAATTCTTAATTATCTAGAGCTTATAACTGCTAGTGTTCTACTAAAGATTAGATTTAAGGCGTATTTCCCGGGGTGAAATACTGAAAACGCTATTCTTTAACCATCGAACGAAGAAATCGAGTGTTATCTTAGTCGTATCTAATCTATCTTATGTCGAATTAATAACCGAGTACGACTACGTTGTCCCATCGACTATAAAGATTAGCCAATGATACTCTTTATCTATTAAGTCGTCGTTAAAGATAATAAGTCGTCTTATACCATCGTCGACGTTTCCCTAGGCTTTAAATTTCACCGGTGCGTTTACGTTCCTACATTAGTTGATCTAGAAAAGGAACGCGGCGCCTAAGATAATGGTATATCTTATATATAATTCTTTCCGGCTTACTATAATTCTCGCATCGATGAAAGACTAATTAATCTATTCATTATATCTAGGATTTAGTAGGGCGCTCCGAAGAGCACTACTTAAGACATCGATAGCCTTATAGTCGGGATGACTAGATAGAACCTAGTAATTTATCGTTCCGAACCTTTCTTCTTACTACTTTATTAATTATTCGAGGTTCTTCATAGAATCTTTATAAGGCGCAGCGATTCTTTCTAATTCTTCTAGGTATAAGGCGATTCCTTTCTTAACTATATATAGATAGGCGGATATATATCGTCTAGATATATACCTAGTAAGTAAGCTTAATACGTTAATTATTTTTTTAGCTTCGAATTCGTAGTATCGTTATATATCTTTACGGCTAACTAAGGGTATATTTCTTCCGTAGTTCGTCTATCTTATATACTTCTAAATTATTAATTACGCGAACACGATAGAGCTTCTAGAATTTAGAATCGAATTCGGTAAGTTATCGAGCGTATCTCTTCCGAGAGAGTATAGTGATAGGACGGCTCCGGAAGAACTAATAATACGTATTTCTTAGTTTATAAGTTACTATTCGATCTCGATTCCGTAGAAGAGTTCTAAAATTCTCGGCTTCTTTATACTTAGGTTATAGCCGGGACTTAGAGCTACGAAGCCTAGACTAGGGATCATCGTCTATAGTCGCGGTCTCTTTATAACGCCTAAGATATTAATCGAATTATTTCTTATTTAATTTATTTATTCGCGACTCCTAAGAATAGGGCGTTCTTCTCCCGATTTCGTAAGCTATATTAAGCTTCCTCGTCCTACACTCGTTAAACTAAGCCGTATCGAAAGGGCGCTTTACCATAGTCGTATAGAAATTAGAGTAATAGAAGTAGGCGTAGTAGAGACCGTAGAAATAGAAATCCGACCACCTCGGGTAGTCCGCGTATTTAGACGTCTTACGGAAGTATTAGAAGAACCGATAAGGCCGGCGAAATTCGTAGTTCGAGGTGTAGGGAGATTACTAGTATTAGAACGAGTAATAGATCGATGAACTCCCGAGTCTAAAACGTTCCTAGTAATTAAATCTTACGTAGTAAGTAGTGTTACTAGCCTAGATTTTTCTTCGAATGTAATTAGATTATTATAGTTTATAGAAAGAACGTCTACTTAGTATAGTCTAGTCGCTTCTATAAATCCGTACCGACTAAGTATCTCTAACTACTCGGGACGATTACGCTTAGCGATTCGCTCATTATCGTTAGATATTTTGCCGTCGAGGACGATCTAAATGTCCTCCGTAACTAGATACGGCGAAGCATTATAGTGTCGATTCTATCGAATTCGGGCTAGACGGGCTATTATTTTATATAAGGCGACTTATAGTAGCCGAAGAGAGGTTACGTTGTACTAGAGTAAATGTTTCCGAGCGAATTAATACTGGTTTAAGAGTGTAGTTATATTCCCTCCGTATAGAATGATTAATTCATTAAAGAATTCTACTAACGTCTAAGTAGAAAGCTTTACGAATTCTCCGCGCGGAATGAGAACGTCTCTCTCTCTATATTTATAATTAAAGAGACTTATATTATTTATTCAGCCGTATTTAGAGAGTAGCTTATTACGTATCTTTACGCGACGATTTCGTCTATTATTAAACTCTTTCTTTTTAGCGCATAGATTAGAGTATTTTTAAAACTCTATACGGGCATTTAGAAGATCTTTAGTGAGGTCGTAGACTCATTAGGCTATAAAGTCGCGAATCTCGTCTATTTATCGATATTTTAATTTAAGAGAGCTATAGAAGTCTTTAATTCGATTCGCGTTATCCTAATTCATAGTAGCTATAGCTTCTTCGAGCGTAACTTCTCTAATATAGTCTAGATATTTAATAGTAAGAATAGATTAGTTTTCGACGATTCCGGCATTAGATACTTAATATCTAGTACTTCTACTAATAGCGGCCATAGAAGTAGAATTTAGATGAATTATTAGAAGTCTCGGTAAAAGTGACCTAGAATTTCTAGATATCTTAATGACGTAGTGAATTATTAAGCTAGAAACCTAAGGAGAAAGAAAGAAAAGAAAAAGATAATTCGGTCCGAACTATCGTCGTCGAAATACTGAACTTAATGATGAAGTTATGTAAAGATTTCTAGGCTTACGCTTTTAGAATCTCACTTAGAAAGATAATTTTAAGAGTAAAGAACGAGTTAAGAGAGTTTAGAATAATTCGAAATAGTATAATTAACGAAGAATTAAGTCGTAGAATCGTAATCGAAAGAAAGATTAATGAGAAGATAAGGACTAGATACTTATATCTATCTCTAGTAGAAGTATATATATTTCGACGTCTCTATAGTAAAATCTCGATATTTTACGTTTTAAATTATCTCTCCGAACTAATTCCGTACTAGACTCGACCTTCTAGTGATAGTATCGTTACTAATAGTATCACTAATATATATCTTTCTCGTTATCTTTAGTCTATACGGTTATCTAATTTATCTTATCTATAACTAATCTTTTAGTTATCTATAAAGGCCTTACGATATTCTTACTTAGTGAGCGAGAATTCTTAAA